CCGAATGCCCTCGCCGTGGGCGAAGCTCATGAGCAGTTCGCCGTCGACCAAACTCCAGACGCGCGTGAGCTGGCCCGTGGTCACCACGCGCTGGCCACAGACGTCCACTTGGCGGCAGTCAAGTCGAGTGTTAATCTCAGACAGGCCCTGCTTGGCAAAGGGCGGCCGGCGGTTGACGTTTGTGGCGTCCGGGAACGCGGCGGACGGGTTGTCGTGTGGTTTGGATAACGAGTTCAAGGCGACGAGGGCGTCTGTGCTGCGGCTGGCAATGTCTGATGGGGAGGATGTACCGCTCCGTATGGAGGCGAGACCCGGCCCGGGCACAAGAGAGCCATTGGATCCATGGAAGTCGGACTGGAATTTGGGCGTGGCGCGGTGGTCGACGGTCATCGAGCGGCCGTGCTGCGTACGTGTCGGTGGCGGCGGGAACTGCTGGGTGGACGTGGTCGGATTCGACACGACGCGCTTTGCGAGGGATGGGGATATCGTCTGGTTGTCGTAGCCGGAAGTACCGCTGCTGGCGATGCCGGCTATTCTGGCACTGTGCATCGAACCTCCATTTGTGGGGACGTGGGTGTCAACTCCTGGGCGAGGCGGTTTTGGCGGTAATCGTGTCGAGGCAGGGATCTGGGCGCGTGGCGGCTGGCCGTTGTTCGCATTGTTCGCGCCCGGCGTCGGCCGTGATGGCAGAGGTGGACGCGCCGATCGGTGGTCGTCGTTTTCGTGGCGGTGGGCAACCGTGTCCACGCCGATGTGGCCGTTGCCCGTAATCTGTGGAAACAGGGGTCCTCGCGCTCCGACGCCGTTTGAGGCTTTGTCCTGGCGGACATGTCCAAACGCGTTGTGGTGGCCTGTTGATCCCTGGTCGGACGTTGGTGGTACAGCCATGGACCGCGGCCGCGGCTTGGGGTGGCTGCGCTCGACGGGAGGCAGCTGCGAGCGTGGCCGTGCAGGCAGCATGGGCGGCTGGTCGTCGTTGATGCTCTCGTCGCCACTCGGCGGCGTGCTGAAGGGAGAAAGCTTGTCGGCCGTGCTGCGGGTGCCGGGCGGCGAGCCAGTCGTGGACACGGCGGCTGGAGAAGTGGGTGCCCGTGACAGGACAATCGGGGTGGGATTGAACTGCTGCGAGGGGATCTTGGGCTTGTCGGTCCGGTTTATGGGCGGCGGTGCTGCAGCCTTGTGCGATGTTGCATCGCGCACAACAATAGCAGTATCGCGGGCGACGTCCCGCTGGTCCCGCTCACGCTTGAGCTCGGCAGACCGACGCGGCGGTGGCGGTGACGGCGGCTGAGACGGCGAGAGCCGTGGCGACCGCCGGGTGTCGAGTGACGTGGGCGTGTGCGGTCGGCTGGGGATCTTGGGCAGGCGCGGCGACGAGGAGGGGGAAAGCGGTGCCTTGACGACGGAGTCAGGGTTGAGGAAGAAGTTGGATTGGTCGGCGGTGGACGGGGCGAGGTTGCCGGCGCGGCCTTTGGGAGGTGACTGCGGCGGCTGAACGAGCAGAGAGGGCGGCGCAATGGGCCGTGGGCTGAGCGGTGGTGGGGGTCCTAGACGATTGGAAGGGCGCAGGAGGGCTGCGTTGCCAGACAGGTTGAGGCTGCTGATGCTGCTGTCGGGTGTTGAGGCTGCGACAGGCCATGTTGGCGAGTGTGCTGGACTTGCTGGAGTTGCTGAAGTGGAAGCGGTCGAAGGATCGTGTGGCTTTGGTTTTGGCGGCGGCGGCGCCTGAGCAAAGGGCCTGTCTCCCAGTATGGGCGATGCGGGACCACGTAGTCGGTCCGGTTTCGGAGCCGGCGAGATGGGTCGGCTGAGAGTCGTCGTCGGAAGTGGCGAGGGATGGGGAGATGCAATGGTAGGGCTGCCGACGACGACGGGCTTGCCCATGTTCTCGAAGCGAGCTCGGAGGGACGAGACGGGCTTCTGCGCGGAGGGGTCAGTACCGGGGGAAAAGAACGATACGATAACCTACAAAAGCCGCAGGAAACTCACAATGGACGAGCCATCAGGCCCTTCCTCGTCGGGAGGCGGAGGCATGATACGGGAGGAGGAGAAGGAGGAGGAGGAGGGGAGAGGAGAAGGACGGGAAGAGCGCTGCCCATGCGTGGTGGGGCGAAGGGGAAATCGAGGCTGACTAGGTGCCGGGCATGGAGATGACAGCGAGTGTGACGTCTTGACGTTGGCGATGTGATGTTGCCCGCGCAAACTTGAAGTTTTTTGACGGGGGACGAAATGGAGGGCGAAGGCAAGCCGAAGTAATGGCGCTGGGCAAGGCGCGGGCGGGACTGGGGGACAGGGTGCGCGAGGTGAGACAGGACACTGGTGGGATGCGGAGAATGCAGTGGGATGCCGATGGGAGGCCGTCCACCGTTGGGCCGAGGGGTATGGATGGGGATGAATGAACAGGCTCCGTATGGGACGGTCGTCGAGATGGTGGAAAGGGGTGAAGAAAGAAGAGCCGCGTCGTGAGAGAGTGTCAAGTGTGAACACGAGGCATGGGTGCCGGTGGAATCAAAACGGAAGGAGGTATCGTGTCGTGTGGTGTATCTGTGTTATTCACAGTGAGTGCTGGGCTGCACCTGCAGTGAGAAACCACTGGAGGTGGCTATGTTGCGTATGTTATTTTTTGGCCCCTTTTTGTTGGGAGTGCTCCTTCCTGGAATGCTTTTAGCCGCGGTTCCAGGTGTCTGTGTGTTGGGTGGCACTTTCTGGCTTTCCGTTCCTGCAAGTCGATGTCACTTGCACCTGCCACACGATTTGTGTTTTGTTTTGTTCCCGTGTTGGTGGTTGTAAGTTAATTGTGGTCGTGGTGGTGGTGGCCACCTGGGTCGCTCTTACCCTAGGTGCCTGGGACATTCTTGGAATAGTGAACGGTGGAATTGCTTTGCTTATGCACTGTATGTTTTACAGTGGGTGGGGCAAGATGGCATTGCCGCTCACAGCCCGACGTCACCGCCTTGTACCCCCCAGAGGCCAGAGCGAGCGAGTTACCTAGGCGTTAGAAAATACGAACCAGGAAGAGAGCTCCTACTAAGACGGCGAATGTTGATGCCATAAGCATGTGGGGCGAGACCTAGTCCCCTGTGATTGGCCAGGCCCACGAATATAAGTGGGGAACCTGAAAATAATAATATGCAAGGCAACGCGTAAAATAGATTACGTGGATAGAATAATAATAACAACAATCATCTATGGCCAATTACATCACCAAGATTTAGTAGCGAATGCCGAGTCACGTGCACTGAATTGCTTAGCTGCATTGCGTTTAACTAGGTTCGGGTTTGTTTACATGTTTCCTGTTTATAGTATAAGTAAGTTCGAATAATCCTTTGTCGCTAATTTCACTATATCTTCTGTTGTGCGGAGGTACTATGACCTTGGGATCATCCACGCTACAAGGCTAGTTTATAGGGATCAATGCATATCGACGACCTCGCGCAAAGAGGAGTACCCCAAGTGCAACCTTCTGGATGACAGAATGACAAGAAAGAACATCTGGCCAAGCATGGTGCGTGTGTCGACTGTAGAGGCTCGACGATACTCAGTGAATGCCTACTGATGACACTGCGGGGGTAACAAGAGGGACAAGAACAGGCAAGAAAAGACAGGTACCAGCTGGTAAAGTATCTTGATAAGCTTGAGTCAATTGCAAACTCCCTCCCCTTTCGGACATGACGTAGATGAGTATGGGCGCCGAAGATACCTTCCTTAAGAGAGCAATCAGGGTAGAATGACCATTGATACTTCGTTACTCTCTCTTGACATTTCCGAATACCTCACAAGAACTCCATCTCCACACCAAGGTATCGCTCGAAATCAGCCAGCAGCCACTTAGCCGGCGTCACGTACGTGACGAGGGGAATGAGCAGGCGGAAATAGGCAGGAGGAAGAAAAAGAAAGTATGCACCGACAGAATAATCATATAAGGCGCTCTATGCATGTACCTAGTTGACGCACGCCGTGATTACTCAATTAGCGAACAAATACAGTTAGCCATTCACAAAAGAAAAGAGGAAGGCTCAAACGTGTGTGTTATCGTTAATCGAAAGACTTATTGAACGCGAAGAAATCAAGATAATCAAAAAGAGGAGAAAGAGCGTATTGCATCCTCACACCCAGAGTCCCTGCGATGCCATAAAGATGATGTATCGTTGCTCGGGGTGTCCAGGCAGGGATAGGTGAGGCTATCACGACTTGCATCAGCCTGTGAACAAATCCGTGTTCACTTGTATGATGAACTGACAGGTGGATTGACGGTGAGACGGACGATGGGCTCCCAAAATGAGACGGCTGAACGCAGTCTGTCTTTGCCGCCATTTCCACAGTGTGCAGCATACGTGATGCACGGCGCAGGATGTGACAGCTGCTCTGGTATGCGGCATTCTATATTTATGTGTAACAGCCGCAGAACGAGCAAACAAAAGGCAGCAGGGACAAGCAGGGGGGGAAACCAACGAGACCACTTTGGGCAGGCTTCTTTGACGGAAGCAAACATGTCAGTAACTATACAGGGCCCCGAAAATATGAGGGGATGCAAAGGCGGACGAATGAGAACGCAAGAAAAAAAGTTACAGGTCGTGCAGTCTTTAAAGTTCTATACATTGAGGAATTGGGCAGAATCTTCAGCCTCGTGACTTGTCATGAAAGAGCTTCATAGTTTTGAGCTGCAGATGGATTCCAGGCACTGTGGATCAATGTAAGAAAAGGCGGAAAGCAAGGAGAAAGAAAGCGAAGGAAAAGAATGGGAAAGGAAAAGAGAAGGTAAAGGAAAGGAGAAGGCAAAGGAAAGGAGAAGGTTGAGGGAAAGAAAAGGAAAGGAAAGAGAACGAGACAAGGATAAAGGAAGAGCCTCTCCCACTCCTGTTGATTCTCTCCTACAATCTCAGACGGTGAGATCTTAGACCCCAGACACCAAAGTTGTCCTTACATTGCACACATCTTCCCACCACAATCTTTCGTCCTCACACATCCCCAACGTAACACCTCGTGTCCCAACAGCCACTATGAGCTCGCACACAAAGACACTGCGCGATTGCCTCGTTCGGCCCAAGCCCAATATTCCGTGCACGACTCTAACGATGGGCAACACCAAGTCTGCAACTTGGCCCCACATCAAGGTCAGCCTCTGGGAAGAGTTCAATATCGACACTCTCAACGAAAGCTAAGGACACATTCTCGATGAAGCTTTGCCAGCGCATATTGCTGACAAAGTGCCGTCCCCTGACCAGCTGCAGAGCCTCACCGTCATTGACGACAGTGGACCCTTCGACCTAATCGGCTGGAACGACAAAACCGTCCTGCCACTGGTCAAGTGCACCAAACAGGCCATGGGCTTATACGTTGGCGCGGCTGTGCAACACATGTACACCAGCTCTGACAATTCGACCGTGGCCACGCTCTTGACGGGCCCCAACCGGACCGTCATTGACCACGTCATTGAGCTGGGCAACTACCGGCGTGACGTTTTGGTTGTCGGTCTATGCCGGACCAGCGTCAAATGGCAAGGAAGCACGCTCATCAAGGACCCCCTCAACGCCCCCAACGAGCAGAAGTGGCCCGTCCGACAGTTGGCGAACCTGTGCGCCAAGGCTGGAACGCGGTATGGTTACATCCAGACGGACCAGGAGCTGGTGGCTTGCTGCTTTGGCGCCACACCGCCTTCGAAAACGACCGAAGCGTGGTCTGACTGGACAGCCCGCGTTATGCCGGTGCCCTGGAACACAGAGCTGGTTGAGCAGAGCGAGGTGAGCAACGGGGCACGCGCTGTGCTCGAGTCCTATCTGACTTCGGAGCTGTCCCTGTGGTGGCTCTGTATGTTGTCGCTGAGCGATGGCCACCGCCAGCTTGTCAAGACCGACGAGATTGTCCCCATTGATGCCTGGCAGCCTCTCGAGCTGGCCGATGGGAGTGCATGGGCTCATCAACACCGGTATTCGGCCTTTGTGAAGCCAGCGGCGGATCCTACAACACAGGCCGCTGTAACTGGCGGTGGAATTGCTGGTGGAGGAAGCATGCCGACACCCTCTCTGGGCAACGTGAATGTCGACTTTCGTATGCAGACCGACTTTTGGTTTCATTACAACAACGGAAACTGATTGTACATCGAGTGTACAGAGTGGAGGACTTGGCTTAGAAGGATAGGGCTCACAGAGAGGTCGTACATGGCGAGTTTTTCTTTTCTTCTTTTCTTTTTATTGTTCTCCTTTTTCGCTCCATTTTTCCCTTTTATCTATTGTCTTCATTTACGTAGATCCAACTGGTCCAGTTTTAAACGCGCCTTTTCATTTCCACGTTAAGAATTTGTTTTGTATATGGTTTATTTGCCATTGTCATAGTTGAATCCTTCACTCATTTTTTATCTATTTCCTTCAAATAAACACACCAATATGCATTGAAAATGTACTTCCAAAGTGCTCGCCAAACAGTCACAAAAACAAATACAGAGAAAACAGAAACAGGGAGACGCAAGTCCCAGTAGAACGCTAGGGGGCTGCTAATTCAGGAACACCCGTTTCTTCGGAGTTCGCTTCTTTCCTCTCCTGCTGAATCTGGCGTATATGAGGACCATATCCTCTTTTGGTTGGGAAAATCAAGCCGGCATCATCCACAAACCATTCCAGCGTGGAACATAACGTGCGATCACATTTCATTTCGAGCGCTTTTGTTGGCGTGCATGGAAGATACCACAGTTTGGGTGTTTTAGCCAGCCGCAATTTATGGTTATCGTTGTCCTTGAGTGCGGCGCTGGCCTTCCAGTCGAATTGCCGGGGATCAGCCAGCGCATATATCCGAAGCATCTCTTTAACACGAGAAGGCTTGCGTCGGAGATTGTAGTACGTGTTTGTCCAATGCGGTCCTCGCACCCCGCAGGGGAACACAGTCATCTTTTCGAGGAGTTTGGATTTTTGGCGGGAGTACCGACGAGATATCAGAACCATATCCTCAATACACCAGTAGTCGTTAATGGTGTACAAGAATACCTCGTGCTCCATGGCTGCCAGATCCTTCTCGGCCAGTTTGGGATTCAGCTCGGGACTGGCCATGAAATGCGGAACAGTGAAGGCGGTGCTAAAATCGCACATCATATTGTCCACAAGCTGCTCAGGCCGCAAATCGAGGTAGAAAATGCCCAGCTGGTGAAGGCGAATCGTGTCCCGCAGAATTCGCCGCATGGTGCGCACCCTAACGTTGGCCGGGCTCCAGGGGTCTATGGTAGACCCGAGTTTCTTGATGATGCCACGAAGTGGCGGCGGCTTGCCACTGCGCTCGCCTAGATAGAGCCCGCGCATGTCTTCGTCGCCAGGAAAATCAATGCTACCGTTGTATTCGAGCTTGAACTGCTCGGTGAGCTTGCGCTCATGCGCCTCGTCCAGTAAGACATAGCCATAACAAGGGATGGCAAGCTCGGTGTGGCCTGTTTCGTGCAGACGCCCAAACGCGCGGCATTCACTGTAAAACGGGTCTGAGTACTGGGCAAGGACAGTTAACTTTTCGCGCGTACTATTAACCGAGTACTCTCCGGGGCCTTCCCAGTTTTCTTCGTAGACGAAACGGAACTATACAAAAGCAAGACGTGTTAGTATACGAAACCTGGCGGAATATGGGGCGTCACGGAGGGAGGGGGCCAGGGTGAGATTTTTAGATTATGTATTTATTTTTCCTTCTTGTATTTTAAGAGAAAACTGGAAAGATAAAAAAAATAACATACGTACCAGCTTGAGCGCATACTCCTGGCCCTTGATCTCGACCTTCAAAACATGAGCATGAAGTCCTTGTCCAATATAAGAGATGAATTTTATATCTTGAGGATCATGAAACTGAAATGCATGCAACTTCGGGCCTGGGCACTGCGGCAGTGGCATGAAGTCAGCTGGGGTCTCTGGCCAGTCAGGATGCATCGTGTCGGTGGAGAGTGACGGATAATGTTTCCTTGAGGAATATAGAAAGTAAAGAAGGTTGAAGAGGTGCTGTCAGCCGAAAGGATAAAATTATATACAGTAACAGAATTAAAAACGAACGTGAAGAAAGGAAAGGAAAGAGGATGAGATTGTGTTGCAATGTTTTCAAGAAAGAAAAAAGGAAGAGGAGCAGAGCGAGATATATATAGAGAGCAAAGAACCTGAAAAAGAAAACAAGGTCGCTTGATATCTGGAGTGCAAAAATGAAGTCTTAAGAGTCAGAAGAAGAGGCGGCCACATTCTACATTCTGCATTCCGACATCAGGACACACGGATGCGGCGATGCGATGGCTTTATTGACCGTGGAATAGCAATGAAAGCGGCCATTGCTTTGTGCAACCCCTTTCTTTTCTTTCTTTGTTGACTCCGTATCAGGAGGCTGTGTGTGTTCTTTGAAATGATGTTGGACGAAGAACATGACTAAGCTGGTTGTAGGATGGGCGCGCACGCCCAGTGTCAAGGACTGGTGTCACAAAACACAGTGCCTGCACAGAGCAGTCGGCCTGCACGTCAGGAGGGTTGTTACAACCATTTGTTGGGTTTCTTCTGCTCAAGATGAAGAGACAAGAGGTGCATCGACGGGGAAGTATGTGGACATTTAGAAATTGCCTCTGTTTGTACTCGTTTTTCGTGTGCTGAGTCTTACATGAGCGTTTGCAGCGCGAGCGCTCCTGGTCGCCTTGGTCTGAAATCTCAACACGAAGCAAGAGCAACTCAATAAACGAAACATAACTGTACAAGCCGCGCACCTTCCTATCGATGGCGTTGTACAAAGCGCGACGGGTTTGTTCCTTACCCTGGAAAAGTTGGCTGTGGCCGTCTCTGGCCATCGTCGTCGTCACTCCCGGCCCCTTGTATTCTTTCAAACGAATCTTCTGGCTTTGCCTTATCCGGGCCTCAACCTCCACGACGCCACCATCTGTCCGGCCACCGCGGTGTTAATGAGTCGACAAAGCGACTCACTAGAAGGGTACGTAAATCAATCCACTACAGAAATGGAGTGCGGCCTAGGGTCCATGTATTATTCTGTTTCCTATCATTATTATTATCATTGTTGTTTGTTGTCTTGCTTCGGTTGTCTTATTTCGATTCGTTGGAGTGCGCGGACGGCATGCCTTTTGTTTCTCCTGTTGCCGTTGCGCAACTACAAAGCAGATGGTGTGCTGGCTGCGCTCCAAGTGTTTCGCGGGCGGCGCATGTCAACGCGACACGACCTTGGCCGGTTGGGCTTCTTTGTTGGCCATGTTTGGCCCCTTGCATCTAGCATCTCGTCTGTTTTATGGACGGTCATGACAGGTGAACTTCGACAGCATCTTATCTGCACTCTAGTTTGCACAATCAATGTCGCCAATCCAACCAAGCAAGCGAGTACTGCCCCAAGGCCCGAGTGGCAAAGCAACGAAAAGGCTAATAAAGGAAGCATGACAAACACCAGAGGTTGCGGAGGCCAGGGGATTAGGGTGCGATGGATTGTACAAGGCAGGTCGTCAATTGCGAACACCACCTACCACATTCTTAGCGCCATGCGAAGATGTCGGCATAGCACCCTCGGCAAGACCCCCAATGGCACCTTGCTAGGGCCGCTTGTTGTCCCGGCCGGGCCTTGTAGGCTTCAGATCCTTCAGCTCTTCCGTAGCATCGCCGGCAAAGCATGCAATGGCGGAATTGTGCTGGCACAATTGACAACAAATCGACAAATCGACCTTGCATGCCAATCAGAGGCCAAACAATACCCCGACGTATCCCCACAACCGTCGGACGATGTCTGCCACTATCCAAGGCCAGAGTATCATCTTTCGCGCATTTCACAATCAAGATATCGCCAACCTGGTGCCGGGTGCTCGTTGCTGACGTTTTGCGTCCTGTCCCGTTTGGCTGTACGAACATATCCTGCCTGCTGGTCTGCTTCTTTGCTTCTTTGCCCCTTTATGACCCATGTCCGGCACCGCCCGTCATATTTTTGATGGCCGTACCTTGATGAGACGCGAGGTCGGGGTGACTGCCCGGTTGACGTGCTTAAGTTGAAGATGGAGGGGGGGCAACGTGCACGCAATCTACTACTACCGGAGACCCGAAGATATGGGGACCGGCCTCCAACCGACATAAGCGAGACGGGCGACGCGATGGACGACAAAGCGTGCGAACACACCGCTAAGGCTGGGTTGCAGATGCAGACGAGAACATGACGGTTTCGGATCCAAAAAGATCAAAAAGATGAACACTGACGATGGGGGGGAAGGGGACGAAGATGGGCAGCAACATGTGTCATCCCATTGACAGATGACGAGAGAGCTGCGATGGCGACATTCCGGGTGCACTGGTGACCTGTTACCTCGTTTCTATAAAGTTGAGGGTCGATGCAGACGCCGATCACACGAGGCTGTTTTTGATGAGCATTGCCCAGAGCACTTTGCGGTTCTGATGACCTGTGAAAAGCGAAATTCATCGCGGATTGGCTATTGTTCCTGCGAGTTCTGAGGCTGCTTCGCAACACCCCAGGGTCACTTGCCCAACACCATCCAACATCATGCCGACTGTGCTGTGGTCGGCCAACCCCACGGCGTCTGTGCCAACCGCGTCAGCCGAAGACCTTGGCACCAGCTCCGGCGACGACAAGAAGACGCCCCAGGTCGTCGTGAACCCCGCGGATATACCGCCTCTCGGCGTGCCCATCGACACCACGCGGCGCTACTTTTGGGAAAAGGCCAAGCCCGTCGATCTCGATGCCATTGCCACCCAGCCGTCCGTCTACGACGACCCGGCTTTGGCCGTCAAGTACCGGCCGCGCGCTGACTGGGAGAACATCCATCGCTTTGACCCGCTTGCGCGCTGGACCTGGCGCGAGGAGAAGGCCCTCGTGCGCAAGATTGACGTTCGCATCTTCATCTTTACCTGCGTGGCATTCATGGCCCTGGAGATTGACCGCGTCAATCTTGGCCAGGCCGTGTCCGACAACATGCTCACCGACCTGGGTCTGACGACCAACGACTACAATCTGGGCAACACAGTGTTTTTGCTGTCGTTTATGTGCGCCGAACTGCCGTCGCAGTTGGTTTCCAAGTGGTATGTCCCTTCACCCCCTCTTTCTATTCTGCAATTTACATCTGCATCCGCACAGCATTCCTAACTGCTTTAGGATGGGCCCTGATCGGTGGATTCCCATGCAGATGGTCCTGTGGAGTGTCGTGGCCATGTGTCAATACAAGCTCAATGGCCGGACCTCGTTCCTCGTTACCCGCGCTCTTCTCGCCATCCTCCAGGGCGGTTTCATTCCGGACGTACGTTTCCAACCCACCCCCAGTGACGTTTCCAGTTCCAGTCATTGTGAATGACAAGTTCTCATACAACCCAACCTTTCTTTCAGATGAACCTCTACCTTTCTTACTTCTACACCAGCGCCGAACTGCCCATCCGCTTGTCCCGCTGGTGGGCGACCATGACCTTTTCCATTATCCTTGGTGCTTTCCTCGCCTTTGGCATTCTTCACCTGGATGGCCATAATGGCGTCGAGGGCTGGCGCTACCTATTTCTCATCGAAGGCTTGATAACGCTGGTTGTCGGCGTCTCAGCCCTGTATTTTATGCCTCCCAGTCCCACGCAGACCAGTGGCTTTCCCCGCGGGAAGAAGGGCTGGTTCACCGAGCGGTTCGTTCACATTGTGCCGCTATTTCACTGCTTGATTGTTTAACGTTTCGGCTGTGTCTTCTACTCCGCATATATCTAACGCGTCTTGTCGCACAGTGAGGAGACCATCATCGTCAACCGCGCTCTCCGGGATGACCCGTCCAAAGGCTCTATGCACAACAGACAAGCCATCACGCCTCGCTTGCTGTACCACGCTCTCAGGGACTACCACATGTGGCCAATGTAGGTCTTTGCTCTCGTACACCAAATCTCACACTGTAAAGACATGCTAACCGACCCAGTTATGCCATTGGCTTGACCTTTCAGATGTCCATGGGCCCCCCAACCCAGTATCTGACTCTGAGGTGCGCTCGCCCTGCTGTTGTTGTTTTATTTGTCTTTCTTCTCTTTACACTGACTTACACCTTGTAGTTTGAAGGGCCTCGGCTTCACAACCTTCCAGACCAACTTGCTTATTATCCCTACGTACGTGCTCTCCATGATCACTTTGTTGTTGGGCACGCTCTTTGCTGGTTGGTCTGGCCGACTGGCCCTCAACGGCCTCATCGGCCAGTTTTGGGCTCTGCCCTGCCTTATCGCGCTCTACTGCATCGACACCACGACCGCGAACAAGTGGGTCGTGTTTGCCCTTGTCAGCATCCTGCTCGGCTACCCCTCGAACCACTCCGTCCAGGTCGGCTGGGCCTCGCGCAACGCCAACACGGTGCGCACCCGCACCGTCTCGACCGCAATGTATAACATGTGCTGCCAAGCGGGCGGTGTTATTTACTCCAACATATACCGAGCCGACGACGCACCCCGCTACCGCCGCGGCAACCGCACCCTCATCGGCCTGAATGTTGGCGTGATCTTTTTGTATGTGGCGGTGCACTTCTACTACCGCTGGGTCAACGCCCGCCGCGACAAGATATGGAATGCGTGGACGCCCGAAGAGCGCGAACACTATATTAACACGACCAAGGACGAGGGCAACAAGCGTCTCGACTTTCGCTTCGATTACTAGACAAAAGGGATATGTGTCTTTGTTCGGCGATACCTGCTTCCTGAAAGACCTCTCTGCCACTCTATAACCACGCCCACTCCCTATGTTTGTTCGCTCTATTCTAATAGGAACCATAAATCGTCCTTGCTATACCTGCCGTTCATCATCAACCGATTTCTTTACCCTGTTTAGAATACCACCTCACTAGACTTTATTTTTTGTCATTGAAACGAGAGTTTTACGTGACATCATGAACTCCATCTGCGCCTGCGTTCAGCTTGCGTCGAGAGGACTGGTTGCTGTCTTTGACATTTTTGTGCCATTGCTGCATGTTCCGTTTTTAAATTAAAGCACGCCGCTCTGTTGGTTAGACGGTATAGAGATCACACACAGGCAATAGGACAAAAGGGAGCCCCGACTATAAATCAAGGTCGTGTAGACGAGCTAGTGCCTGACTATGCAAAACCTCGCCTCTATATTCCTCTTTGGCACTTATTCAAGCTCAACATGAGATGCTGCCACTAAATGGCCGTTAAAGGATGCATGGTTCCCGTCTATTAAAATCCACGCTGTCGCACAAAACGCCCCCCGTTTCAAAAAAGAAAAAAAAAAGGCAAAGTTCCCAAATACAGCCCAAGCCAAGTCCCCCAAAATGTGTGGTGTAGTCGTTCGGTGTGTATTCGCACGAGGGCCTTTCGTCGGTCAGCTTCGGCCCATCGCGCTGGAGCTTAGCGAGGACTGTGGGGAGTGGGGAGCACTGAGCGGGCTCGTACATAAAGAACGAGCCTTGGAGAGACCCCGCTCCGCGCGCCGTCCAAAAGGTCGGTATTATTCAAGCCGGCAGGACAATTAGAGAGCGACGAGAGCGCGACAACTGGGAAAGCAAGACAGAGCTCTTGCCTTCGTTTATTTCGTTTTGTTTCTTGACAAGGAATGCGGTCGTCACTTCCTCCTCGTTCGAGTCCCTTTGTCGTCACCGTTCTTCCTGATTTGGCATCTTCGTAATAATATATTCCCACAGTAGTCGCCCAGCGACACGATTCAAACTGACATTCCAATCTACCACTCTCTTTGACGACTCTACGACTATACGAACCTACGTCCTACATACCAAAAACACTCCCCCTCCCCAGTCCAGCACGCACATGACGCTCCCGCAGCTGCTCGTCGGCAAGGTCGCGGGCATCACTGGCGGCCTGACGGGCATTGGCCGCGTGAGTCTCCTTCGGCCCGTCACTCTTTCCATCTAACTGTACATCTAACCAACGGCCTAGGCCATCGCCCTCGACTACATCCGCCACGGCGCCAAGGTCGGCATCAACCACCTCGGCGGTGCCGGCGATGAGCCCCACCTCAAGAGCTTCCTGAAAGAGGCCGCGGCGCTGCTGCCGGCCGGCGAGGTCGTCGAGAACCGTGTGGTGACATTTGCGGGCGACATTTCCAAGCCCGAGACGGGGCGCCAGTTTGTCGAGCACATTGTGGCCTCGTTTGCGCCAGCGGACCACCAAGGCCGCCTCGATGTCTTTGTGAGCAACGCCGGCGTGTGCCAGTTTGCCGAGTTTCTGGACCTGTCACCGCAGCTGTTTGAGCACACGCTGAGCACCAACCTGTCGGGTGCGTTCTATGCCGTCCAGGCGGCCGGTCGCCAGATGGCCCTGCACCAGACGCCGGCGGGCGGCTCCATTATCGGCATCAGCTCCATCTCGGCGCTCGTCGGCGGCGGCCACCAGACGCACTACACGCCCACCAAAGCCGGCGTCAAGAGCCTGATGCAGTCGTGCGCTGTGGCCCTCGGCAAGTACGGCATCCGCTGCAACTCGCTGCTGCCCGGCACCATCCGCACGCAGCTCAACGACGTCGACCTGGCGGACCCGGTAAAGCGGACGTATGTCGAGGGCCGCACGCCGCTCGGCCGGCTGGGCCTGCCGCAGGACATGGCCGGGCCGGCAGTCTTCCTGGCCTGCGAGGAGCTGAGCAGCTTTGTGGTACGTCCCTTTTCTTGAGCTACCATCCGGTTGCATGCCCTTTGCCAATGATATTTTGGTGATATTTTTTTTTAGCCATCTGCTAACAGCAAACTGTTTCCCTAGACTGGTGCTGAGCTGCTCGTCGATGGCGGTCTGTTTGTGAACCTACAGTAGGAGTGGATGTCAAAAATACGGGGCAGTTTTGAGAACAAGACTATAATTTTGTGAATGGTGTACATAACCTTCCGTCGTTTACATGGCGACTTATCATGTGTGAACAGAAGGCTGTCGTGTGAACATAGACTTACAGGCCGCTAAAACGGCATACATCGTACAGACAGACCTCCATCGCAGCAGCTGCCTTTTTATTCGTCCGCCACGTGACAGCCCCACTTTTACATATGCGATGACATCGTACGATTTTGACGTCGTTCTTTGCCCGAGGAAAGCGCTTTTTATTCTGCACTTTGCGCTCCGATCAACTTTTTTTTTGGCAGTCTATGGCCAATTGATACGACGATTGCGCCGTAAATAAACTTTACCAGTCTGCTTTGCTTCTCCTTCGCTAGCCAACCTCAGTATACCGCAAGTATTCTAGCACACTCCCGCACAAAATGAATACGGTAAGCAACCCAAAGCTCCAATTCTTCAGTCGACTCGAGTCAGCTTAGTCTACGACGTATCGTTTTCTCCGCACGGCACCGCTGTCCGTACATGCCGTTACTGAGCATGGCGACTAACGTTGATGTCCTAGGTACGGTCGTTTTGGTATGTTCTGCCACGGCACGCGGCCACTCTCGATCACCTGATCTTGTCTTCGGTCGTTGCCGTCTCCCCTCCTCTCGTTCGCTTTACTGACAACACGTCTCAACAGGCTCGGCTGGGGCTCCCTATGTGCAGGTACGTGGCTTTCCTCTTTGATTTGTCTCGCCGTTTCACCGTCTAGCTGCCTACTAACACACTCCCTCAGCCGGCGGCATTGCATATTACTTTGCCAAAAGGAGCATCAACGCCGACCGCCAGGCCCGTCTCTCCGAACAGCGCCGCAAGAAGTCCGTCATCGATGCCCTCGAGAAAGAACGTCAGAACGCCAGTCCCCAGTCGGCTGCCGCCGCCCGCACGGACACTGTCGGCTCGCCCAGCCAGGAATCCTCCAGCGCCGATCCAGCACCCACGCGGCACGCACCGGCCACCGAGTCACAGCGCGTGCTGGAGAAGAGCAAATATGAGGCGAGCTCGCCGTTCCGGAGTCCCAAAGGCGACCGGTTTTCGTGACGAGACGAACGTGCTGAGCGGTGGGAGTAACGGAGAGACGACGAGACGGAGAAACTGACGAGGGGAAAGGCTGGGCCTGGGCCCATCTGACTCGCGCTCACACTCCACTTGGTGGTAGCCGGACAGCGGCAAAAATAACGGAACGATTGCCGTATGTAGTCACCAGCAAGCTAGGTGGCACACAGTCATGTATGGATACTGTTCGATTTGATATATGGGGTTCGACTCTAGATTGGCAGATCATGGAGCCACACTAGCTCCTTGTATTGTATTAAAATATGTAACCGAAAACCAAGAAAGAAGTACGAAAAGACCCAAAGATTCCGATCCAGGCAATCCTCACAAATATGCAGGATATTCCATCCCGCCAAAACGCACACCTGTGAGACTACAGCGTCACGTCGCCGCCACAACATCCCAGGGCTGATGTGGCCGGCTCACAGCGCCCCTAGCGCCTTCTGTCCAGGGCAGCTTCCTGGAAAGGCGGTTCTAGTGCCATGAAGCCCCACTTTAATTCTCGCATCCCCAAACGGCAAGACCAATCCTCCGCAAGACCATGCTTCAACATCACTGAATCTCCGTAAACAAAACATCTCCAACACGACGCCTTCACGACGCACGCCAGTTTACGTCCATCTGCGTCAATCCACGGCGCTACGCCGACACGCCACGCGACAGACAATGGTCACCCCGTTTGCGAGTCTAGTCCAAACTGACGCGTGTGCATGACTTGCGCCCTGAAGAGCATTTTATGTACAGCCCTCGAGTGCATCGACCTCGCATCGCATCACGACATTTTCCGGCTTCAAGGTGACGCGTCCACCGCAGACCGCTTCTTACCACATCACACTTTGCCATGGCCGCTACGGCCGCCCAGCTGGCCATTGCCACAGCCTCCCTCACCGCCGTGCTCCTCCGCCCGGACCCCGCGCCCTGCTCGCGCGCCGATATTGACGAGTTTGCTGGCCTGCTGGCCCTCACTGCGGCGCGCTGTTCGCCTGCCAATGTCCAGGTTTGACAACGCTCCTGCCCGCCTCTTCCCGCTTCTGCCCGTCTCTGCCCGTTTTTTCCCGCCTGTTCTCGCCGTCCTTTTTTTTCTTCCTTTTTTTCTTATATACCACTATCTCCTGAGCCTCGCTAAGCGCTTCTCGACTTCTTGGTGGCTTGCCACCTATTTTCTCGTCGTTTTCTTCCTTCCTCCCCTACACAGACCTGCAAGCATTGGATGTTGCGCCATGTCACGCACTCACCTGCCCGCACTGCCGCCGTCGGCCGCTACCTCGTGGCGCTCGCCCACTCGTTTCCGCCGGAGACACGACGCACAACATCCGAAACGGAAGCCAAGCCGACCTCGGCACGCCGCAAACGTCTTCACCTCCTCTACGTGATCAGCGATGTCCTGTACCACGTCGCGTTTCGCAGCACCACCCTGGACGGTGACAACGCGACGAGACCGCCGTTTGTGGCCAGTATCGAGCCCAGTCTCCTGCCCCTCGTGTCGAGCGCCGCAGCGTTTGTCCGTGCCCCCAAACAGCTCGCAAAACTAAACGACCTGCTCGACCTGTGGGCCTCCCACAACTACGTCGGTGACAACGTGCTGCAGCAGCTTCGAACAGCCGTCGACGAAGGACCACGCCGGGCCGAGGAGGCGCTGCAGAAACAAGCCAAGGACAAGGCCGCTGGCAAACACCAAAAGGGGCTGGCTGCTGCTGGTGCTACAAGTACAGGCGCCTCCAAAGAAGCAAAAGAAACAAAAGAAGCGCCTTTCCTGCTGCCCGCCCTCCATGGCGACCCTGCCGTGCCCTGGTACGACTGGCCCGCCGCCACATGGCTCCACGTCCTCGAGCCTAACTCGACACGTCCCATGAACCCGGCCAACCTGCAACCGCTACAGCTTGCGCCCGGTCCTGCACCACCGGCCCTTGAAGCCAGCGTGCGTGCCCTGCTCGCCGACGTTGATCGTATGTATGAAGGCGAGGGCGGTGAGGGCGGTGAGGATGGCAAGGACGGTGAGATGTCAGCCGCCGCCGACATCGACTCGGACGTGAATGCCCTTGGAGAACGCATTGATGTTGATGTCCTGTCGGGCGACATTGTCGGTGGCGACACCTACTATGGCTGGTCCCGTGCCTTTTGCAAGAGCATGAAGGAGCGTCGGCGACGTTGGAAGACTCTCGGTGGCACTGGCTTCGCAGAGCCAGACGTCAGTCCTGACCGAGGCCGGGCGACATCGACGTCTCGACAAAAGGACAGTCGGAGCTGGAGTCGGAGTCGGAGTCGAAACCGAGACAGACGACGAGAGGATAAGAGCCAGTCACGTCTACATGTGCCGAGTCACCGCTACCACCATCGCTCCCGATCTACGTCGAGATCCAGATCCAGATCCAGGTCCAGATCCAGGTCGAGGTCGAGGTCGAGGTCAAAGCGCCAGTTCCGATCCAGATCAAGGAGCCGATGTCGCTCTCGGTCGTGGAGCGGATCGAATTCGCCGAGGAGACACCTGTCTCGCGACCGATACCGCTACTCACGGTCGCCGCAAAGGGGACAGTACGACGACAACGACGACCAACCGCATCCCACCCTAGGAAGAACACCGCCGCCCCATATTCAGCACGGGCTGCCGCCCGTTCCGGTCCATCTACAGCACCACCACCAGCCGCCGCCGCTGCCACCGCATGGAGGAGCGCCGCATCCTGCCTTCTCCGTCTTCTCGCATCCACCTCCACCTCCACCTCTACCACACTTGGGCATGCCTGCTGGCTTTCCGTTTGTCCCTCCACCGCCTGTTCCCCCGCCAGGCTACCAGGGACCATGGCCTCCGCCCATACCGCCTCACTTGCTGCCAAATTCTGCTTGGTCAGGATCTGCAGCAACACCGCCGCTGCCGCCGCCGCCACCGCCGCCACAACAATACCAACATCGGCATCAACAACAGCATCAACAACATCCCGGGTATCAGCAGCAACAATACGACGAACAAAGACATCCTTCGTATGGCCAGCCACCTCAGCAAGACCCGAGGACTGGTAATGGATCTTGGGGTCGGCCGAGAGGGTAGTGTAGTTGATGTCGTTTGATTTCTTTAAAACGCCAATGCCGAAGTCATTGAATCTCAAATTATGTGTAGAATTTGTAAATTCATTTATCACATAAGCTGACTAAGACAAAAAACTATTGGGGAAGACCATCAACGTTTTTTTATTCGTATTTAACAGGTAGTTGACATCCTACGGCCATAAATGATGAATATTTCATGAACATTTTATTATCAATAACATGTTGATTTTGAGATTAATCGTAGTATCAAATTCAAGTTCAGAATGCAAACCTATGACACAGAGATTCGACCGAAACAAAGAATGTGCATGAGAGGTGGGTACCCGATGCAACGCAGATGCAATTATATGTATAATTTTCAAAAAATATAATCATATAATAAAGCAGCCCGCCGGAACGCCGTTCTCAATGTTGTTGCCACTTCACTTCCAACGTCCACCTTCGTCTTAATCCATCCCCAGCCAACCCTCCTCGTCATCGTCGCCGTCATCAAAGACAACCACCTCGGCGTGTGGTTCCTCAGCGGCCTTGTACTTCTCTCCTTTCTGTGTCAGCGCGGGCACCACAGCCGTCGGCTGGGCGGCCGCCAGCTTCTTGGTTGCTTGCCGCGCCTTGGCCTGGTCCAGCAGATAGTCCACCGTGTACACGTTCTCGTCCGCCAGCCGCCGGATCTCGTCGCGCATGCGGCCCACTGCCCGCGCCACCACCCGCAGCTCCACGTCCAGCTTGCCCCGGTTCGCCGTCAGCCACGCGCCGTGCCGGTCCACCAGCGCCTTGATCCACAACAGACAGAACTCAATGTGCGGCGACTGCTCCGTCTGCGCCGCCACGAACCGCAGCAGCCGCGCCACGTACACCGTCGGGACGCCCGCCACGACGAGCGGGATGTTCTGGTGCGGCACGTCTAGGAACACATGCTGGAGAAGCGCGGCCTCGTTGAGCCGAAACGCCATCACTAGCGCCTTAAGGTAGTCGTGCTCCTCGCGCAGCACCTGCAGGGTCGACGCCGGCGTGATCTCCATGCTCAGGTCGAAGGGGTCAAACGGTAGCGTGGTGTCGAGCGAGTACACCAGCAAGCCCTCGGTGGACGCCGCGCAGAACGCCAGGCCCGTCGGCGCGAACGCCACGCCAGACACGCGCACGTCAGGCACGCTGCGGCGCGCGGACGGGTCGCCGCCGCGCTTCGAGCCGGGCAGTGACCGGTCCAGCCGGTCCTCGCGGTCCGACAGCTCGCCCTGCTCGTCGAGCGCGCCCGCCGGACCCGCCTCGGTCAGCTTGCCACTATGCAAGAACTCCTGCGTGCCGCTCAGCGAGAGGTTGACGCTGACGGTGAACTTCTTGAGGAGCACGCCTGTCGTCACCGAGTACAGGCAAATGTACTTGCTGCGCCCGGCCGCCAGCAGGCAGCTGCCGTCGGTGCTGTAGCGGATGCAGCCGAAGCTCTTGGTGCCGGCGACGTTGGCCGCGGTGCGCCGATCCGAGATCGTGCGGCCGCCCGACACATCGCGGCGGCCGTCGAGGCCGGCGACCTGCGCGGCGTCGGCAATGGACCAGAACGTCAGCTGGCCGTCGAGCGTCGAGATGGCGAGCTGCTGGGAGTCGGGCCGCACGGCCATGTCGAGGACGTCCGCCTGCAGCTGCAGCGGCTCGCTGGTCTGGGTGCGGTTGAAAACGGACCAGATGCGCGCCGTGCGGTCCCAGCTGCCGCTGACGAGGACGCTGCCGTCGGGCGCAAACGCCAGCGTCGACACGGGGCCCTCGTGGCCCGACAGCCGGTCGAGCAGCTGGCCCGTCTGCACGGACCAGATGTGGATGTCAAACGAGTCGACGGAGCCGGCAGCCACGACCTCGCCGCTGGGGTCAACGGCCATGCAGGCGAAGGACAGCCGCGTGGGCGCCGTGAACGTGCGGAAGTTGCGGTAGCGCACGAGATCCCACGCGCGGATCGACCCGTCGAGACTCGCCGTGAAGAGCACGTTGCCTTTTCTAGCGAACTCACACGCCGTGACACCACTCGTGTGCTCCGTAAACGTGACGACACAGAACCCCGACGCAATGTCCCACACCTTGATGCGGCCGTCGTCGGCTGTCGTGACAATGCGCTGGCCGTCGGGCGCGTAGACCAGCGCGTTCATGGCGTCAAAGTGGCCCTGCTGCTTGAGAATGTACGACTCGGACTGCCATTCCCACACGAGCAGCTGGCCGAGCTTGGAGGCGCCAAACGCCAGCCACTCACCCGACGAGTTGATCGTGACGTGGTCAATGTCGCTCTGGGAGATGCTGAGCGTGTGGATCAGGTTGAAGTCGGGCATTTCGTAGAGACAAAACACGCCGCTCGAGAAGCCGGCCACGAGCAGGTTCGATGCGGCGTGGTAGGCGGCACACCGCAGGCTCGTGTTGTTCTGGTGGAAGTAGTGGCGCTGTGCTATGCGCCAGCGCATGTCTCGGTCGTCGTCGTCGTCGTCGTCACTCTCCTCGTCGTCACTGCTGCTCTCCTCTCCATCCGGCCGTGGCGGCTTCAGGTACTGCCACTCAAACAACGCGCCATCCTTGCTGACAGTGTAGATGGTCTCCTGATCCCGCGAGAACCACGCGCCCACAATGGCCTGCCGGTGGCCCGACAGCACCGTCGGACTGAACCCTTCCTCGCGCTCCAAGTTCCATATCCGCGTCGTCAGGTCCTTGGACGCCGTCAGGAAGAACCGCGAGTCGCCCGACCACGCAATATGCTGCACCGTGTCGAAGTGGCCTGCGTACGTCCAGAACCGCACAAACGGCGCAAAGTCCAGCTCGCCGTCTGCGTTGGTGTCCGGTGTCGAGGGCACGTGCCACACCTCCGTCTTGCGGCCGAGGCCTACGGCAAAGAAGCGGCCCGAGGGTGAGAACGCGAGCGCCGTGCAGGGCCCGCGGAACGAAAAGTGATAGAGGACAACGCGGCGGGGCAGGTTGGTCAGAATGGCCTGGCCATCCTCGTCGACGGTCAGCAGAAGGTTGCCGCGGGGGGTGATGCCGAGGCGGGCGATGTTGGTGCGGTGGGCGAACGGGAGCGTATAAGACGTGTTGCTGCGGCGGTTAGCAGAGGCAGACGGACATATTGCATCGTAGAGAACACCGGGAGCTCGAGACCCACTCAACAAGGTTGAACACCGTCACACGGTTGCCGACGGGCGAGTAGAGGTGCGTGCCGTCTGGGCTGTAGAGCAAATTGCCCTTGCAGTAGACGGTCCCCAGCAGGTTCGAGAACTGCGACGTCAGTGTAAGTCCACAAACACAATGCAATGAAATCTGTAGAGCACACCAACCTTGAACTCCGTCTTCATCTTGGCGGGTGGGCGTGCGAACGAGGTGGTTGTCGATCGCAGAAACTGCAGAAAATCCGCCTCCAAAATTTGTTATCGCCATACCATATCGCGATGCTTATCGGATGCTTATCGAGAAAATTACAGCGGGCCCGCAGGATAGATTGTCCGGTGCCGCAGAAGGCGGGGGAGACCAGTCTCCCGTTAAGGGGAAAGAGGTGAGCCATCGCTAGGTACATAGTACTCACTGTATTTTGTTAGTTTGCAAAGTACCTCCGTATCGGGCTAGAGCCCCACTGCGCCTTCTGGCTTCCCACGACCAGCAAGGACGAAAAAGGGGGGCAACGAAGGAAAGAGCCTCCCCCTGTCTTAGTGACCTAAAGAGCAAGAGCAGTCAAGGCCATCGTAATAAAAATGGAGGCAGAAGGTGTGGAGCACTAAGGAAACCCTCTAGTACGACATACTTGTACCTCTTGGGTGGCCCCTTCCCCCCCTGGATTAGGTTGGCCCGTGCACCCGACTGGAAATTTGGACACTTCCCCTGAGGGAAGCCGCGAAGCTTCTCCTTCCCGCCTTTTCTCCTAATTGTTCAGGGGAAGGAAACAAAACGCCAGAAACACAAACAAAGCCTCATTTGCTCTCCTGCACTCCATTTCTGCCATTCTACCCTTTTTGCTTCCTTGTTATTGTCAACGCTGCCCAGCTCACCACGCTTGCATCGAATCGAATTTCTCGACGACCTGCACCGCCACGACTCGCAAGAACGATTGTGTTGGACCAGGCCCCCTCCCGCTTTCCTATCATAACCTCGACAAACCCGCACAAAGCTCCCGCCACGATGCCTCCTGTTGCTGCTTCCGCCGAGAGCGCATCGCCGATTGGCATCGCCAACCTGCCGAACCAGCGGCACAAGATTGTCGCGAAGAGAGGCGCCGCCTTTACGATTATGGTGTGTAGCAATTGCTGATGCTGATGCTGATGCTGTTCCCCGGAGGAGACATGGTGCATTCGGTGCCATGCCCGGGATTCTTGCTGACCGCCCCTCTTTCAGGTTGCCGGTGAATCTGGCCTGGGCAAGACTACGTTCATCAACACGCTCTTCTCGACGACCATCAAGAACTATGCCGACCACAAGCGCCGTCACCAGAAGCAGGTGGACAAGACCGTCGAGATCGAGATTACCAAGGCCGAGCTGGAGGAGAAGTTCTTCAAGGGTAAGTGAACACCGCAAGGCGAAACGATGACATGGCATGGGAGCATTGGTGCGGGACCTCTTTTTGTCTTCCCTTGCTTCTTGTGCTGCGAGACTCTGGCTTTTTCTCGCCCCCCCACTCTTATGACATTCGCAGGACACCTGTTCTGACCACAACTAACATTGCCAGTCCGCCTGACCGTCATCGATACCCCCGGCTTCGGCGACTACGTCAACAACCGTGACTCATGGATGCCCATCATCGAGTTCCTCGATGACCAGCACGAGTCGTACATGCTGCAGGAGCAGCAGCCCCGCCGCCAGGACAAGATTGACCTGCGTGTCCATGCCTGCCTCTACTTTATCCGCCCCACCGGCCATACCCTGAAGCCCCTCGACATTGAGGTCATGAAGCGTCTCTGCTCGAGAGTCAACCTGATCCCGGTCATCGCCAAGGCTGATACTCTCAGCCCTGCGGACCTGGCCAAGTTCAAGGCAAAGGTACGTTGGACGTTGGACGTGGCTGTGCCAAATTTCCCCTGTCAATGCCCTTTCCGTTTTTTTTTCATACCTTTCTGCTAACAAATCCAGATCCGGGCTGTCATCGAGGCCCAGAGCATCAAGATCTACCAGCCACCCGTCGAGGAGGACGACGAGGCTGCTGCCCAGCACGCCCGCAGCCTGATGGTCGCCATGCCCTTTGCTGTTATCGGCTCCGAGAAGGACGTCAAGACGGGCGACGGCCGTATCGTCAAGGGCCGCCAGTACTCGTGGGGCGTCGCCGAAGTCGAGAACGAGGACCATTGCGACTTTAAGAAGCTGCGGTCCATCCTGATCCGCACACACATGCTGGATCTGATCCACACCACCGAGGAGCTGCACTACGAGGCCTACCGCGCGCAGCAGATGGAGACGCGCAAGTTTGGTGAAGCCCGCCCTCGCAAGCTTGACAACCCCAAGTTCAAGGAGGAGGAGGAAGCGCTGCGCAAGCGCTTCACCGAGCAGGTCAAGATCGAGGAGCAGCGGTTCCGGCAATGGGAGCAGAAGCTCATTGCGGAGCGTGATCGTCTTAACAAGGATCTCGAGCAGACCCACGCCCAGATCAAGCAGCTGGAAGGCGAGCTTGAGTCCATGCAGGGCACCGCCGTTCGCAGCCATGGTCGCCGTTAGGACTCGCCCCTGACTTCGAGAACGGCGGCCTGCAACTAGACGAAACTGGAACTGTCTCTTGTTTCGTTTGGCCGGCCTCGTCACACGACTAAGAAAAAACGAAAAAGAAACGGAACTGGTGCCAAGGTCAAACCGTCAACGTGGTACAAACGGGGGTTCTCTCTCTGCGTTTAGTGTTCGGAATATCAATGCCTCCATTTCTGCGTTTCTACGTCTCTTCATGATACTTCTGTTGCCTGTCGGCGCATGCGAGCCGGCTCAGAGGATTTCTCTTTTTTTGATCACCGCGTATCCCGGGTCGGAAAAGTAGAAAAATGGAGAACGGAGAACGGAGAACGGAGAACGGAGAATGGAGAATGGAGAATGGAGAAGAGGGGAGTCTTGAATTTCGGACAAAGACATTGGTCTGTTGCTCTGTTTGCCTCGTTTCTTCTTGTTTTCTTACCACGGCGGATAAAAAAAGGAAGCGGACAGTATACTACCCCTGAGTTGTGTTTTATTTGTTGTCTTAATTATTATTGTTGATTTTTTTATTACGCCGCGAAAGCTGTTTTTTTTACTCCCTTCAAACTCCGACCCACTACCTATTTCTTTTTTGTGCGGCTGTTTTGCGAGTCTTTTTTTTTTACTATCATGTTATCCCGTTTTAGCTTTCCAGAATTACTGTGTTGTTAGTCACGACGTAACCTGGGCAGTCCTTCTTTGATACCATATTAATGAGATTGGTTGTCCATAAAAGCAGTTATGGAACCATGTGGTTTACGTGTTGTTGTTCCAAGAAGTCGTATATGATAAAAAAAAGACGAAAGTAAGAAAATACGTAGAGGAAGGGGCTTGCAAAAGATGCATCATGCTTGTCCAAACAAACCAGCTCCTGATAGAGAAGTGCTGATGCAGACCCACGCCAGAGAAGAACGCCTGTTAAGTATCCCGCCAGAACAATGCGTATGGTAATGTACACAAACTAGTAAGCAATTTTTTCAAAACAAATCCTCCGTCGTTCCTGTGCTCCTTCCCTTAGCCTCCTTAGACTGCATCCATGCTCGCCCGCATCGTCAGCTGCTCGTTCTTGTTGCCCAGTTTGGAGATTTGCAAAAATGCATCGACACCGTAGCCCTCGAGGCTGTGCAGCTCTAGACTGCCGGCCCAGTACTCGGCATACACGCGGCTGAGCGGCAGGCCCATGCCCAGGCGTAGATTGGGTGGTCGCTGCGACAGCGACGCCAGAGAGTTGCCGTGAGGGTGGTCCGGGTCACCCGTTACGTTCGGCGGCTTGTCCTGCCGGTGTGTGGTGGTGTATCGGCTCGGGGGCTGCTGCATCTCGTCGACGCGCAGCTCCTGGAGGGTGGCGCTCATGCGCGGGACCTTTTTGAGATTCTCGAGCAGCCGCTGCGAGTGCTTCCCTTTGCTAAAGGACCACAGGTACGGCATCATGTCGTGGGGCACGCCGCCACCCTGGTCGGAGACGCGGATGATGACGTGCTGGGCGGCTTCGCAGAGGGTGATTTCGATGGGTGGCGGAGGCGGGGGCACGCCGTTGGTATGCGATAACGAGGCGGCGCCGCTGCCGCCGCCGCCGCTGCTGCTGCCGTTTTGGCTTCCATACAGTCGTTGGCACCGCTCGACGGTCGCCTGGACGGCGTTGCGCAGCAACTCGCCAACGATGTACTCGAGGTGGCTCAGAATGTAGGGGAACGTGGTGTCTAGGTGGCCCGTCAGCTGGATGTCGGGCAGCTGCACGTCGGGCCCATAAGCGCTGCGGGCGAGGTCGCAGACGGCCTTGGCACACCGGTCGATGACGTCGCGGGCCTGGCACTTTAAAAAGACCTCGCCGATGAACTCGTGGCCCTCGGGCAGCGGTGCACCCGGCGAGTACCAGGAGGCATTGAACGTCTCGGTCAGCGCCAGGTGCTGCTCCGCAATGACACGGCGCGAGATGCGGGCGCGCAAAATGGTGTTCATAAACTTGTCGAGGTCGCGCGCGGGCATGAGGTCGCTGCACTCGAGGATGCCCATGGCCAGCTTGGGGATGACGGGCAGGTGGGCTTGCAGGGTCTGGCCAATGACGTCGCAGAGCACGTCGTTGTCGTCGAGCGTCTTGATCTCCTTGACTTTGCGGAACATGTCAAAAGCATTGTAGTAGAGCTCGTAGACGGCGCTGATGTGTGGGTTGGACACGACAGCATAGGGCAGCTGCTGGATGTCGCGGATGCGATGCGCCAGCCGCGTCGGCAGCTCGGTCCGCACGTAGTTGGCTGAGCTGATCAGACGGGCCTCGGTCAGGGAGCGGCCAAAGACCATAAGCTGACGCAAGCTGATCGGCCGGGCTTCCTTTGCAACCCAGCTAGCGAAGAGAAAGAGTTAATTGTGGCCATGGTACGTCTTGTGGGTCTCTTTTGCAAACGAAGATGGGTGGTGGCACGTACTCATCCAAAACGGATATGGGCCGCCATCGCGTGCTGGGTGAGGGCGGCGTCTGGGCTAACGTTGCAGCAGCGATTGAGCGGCGTGTGCAGTGTCTCGACGGCGGTAAGCAGCACAAAGCGCCGCCCAGTGCACCGGCTCCTGGTCTTGACGCTCTCATCCGGACGGCCTGGGTGGCCCTGCCGGCCTGGCCAGCCATCCGTGGTGTGGATAAGGCCATGCAGATCGTGCCATGCGGCAAACTGCAGAATCCAGGTTGGCGATGCGATGCAGATGATAGGGCGACGAGAAAGGCAATCTTTGGGGGCCGACAGCGGTGCCAAGCTGTCAAGCTGTTTTCAAGTGTATTGTAGGATACACAGTGGACGAAAATGCGAAATGGGAGACGATGACTACAAATTGTGGAGGTGGTGGGCGGTTGCATGTCAAGTACTGTTTTTGTCGGTTCACCACATGCAAATGTGAGGCGATGTTCGGCCAGAAGCTCCAGAACTGCATACACACGACCAGGGAAGGTGGCCCGCATATGACTCTTACTCGTGCTTTTCCTCCTCTTACACAGACCTTTTTAGCGCATTTGCGCCGTTGCCGCTCGTCCTCTGCGAATCACAGTAGAGAGGGAAAGTGCGACCCAACCCCACACTGGCCTGGAACTGGCCCGCACGACAGCGCTTCTGCGCTGGTATAGTCCTTAGAAAGGCTACGCTACAGAAGCTCCGCGCGAGGTCGGCGTCGAAGCTCCAGCGGGGAGCATGTCTACAATGGGCAAGTGCTCGCAGTAGCCATTCATGGGAAACACAGCTTACATACGAAGTCACGTGGAGAAGCCCATCTTATATTGCGTCTTGGGAGTTCACGAGGCGAAGGCACATGGGGCTCACAACGAGGCTACGACGTTTATTGCGTGTCTTCTGGCACTATCAGTCTTTAAGAGTATGAAGCATATATTTGGTTCAGAACATATCTGCAAGTGTTCATGAGATACAAGAAGTAGCACCTGCTGCCATCTCCTATATGAAGCACATGTTCTTCGTTTCTCGGGCGGCATTGGCGACTAACAGCAAATGAATCGTGGGGACAGACACCCTATATTACCAAAGTAAGGCTGTAAGATACAATGTTTGCCTGGTTTGCGATGCTGTCTCGAAGCCTTTAGTCATAAGCTGCACGACCTGTCAAACTGTCAATTCAGCCAGAGGCAGGCAGACAATGACGACCACTAAAACGTCATGGCGGGGCTCCATAGCGGGGAGGCAAGCACGAGCCAGTGGACGGACAAGGTAAGGTTAGCAGGCAAGCATGGGGAAGGTCCCAGCCTAGGTAGGCTTGCCAGGCGACGGCGTTGGTAGACCTATACACTGAGTGTGCAGTTAGTGGGTACTTATTCTTACACCTAGTTTTGCAGTTGATACATGTACCGATCATCTCTACTGCGCTGCCTTGACTCGGAACGCCTGGCGGCACATATGTCGAGGGCTTTGCATTGCACAGCCTTTGCCTCGTCCTTCTTTCGCCACATTTCTCTCCGCCCTCTCTGTTTGTCCTTGCTCTGCTCACTCTCATTATACTGTTCTCCCCTCCAGTCGTCTGTTTTTGCCTGGATTTTTCTTTCAATCATTGACCCTAAGCGCCTTCCTCTTACCGTCTCGACCTCTCGGACCTGCCTCACATTTGGTACGCATGGTCAAATTTCAAAAATAAATAAACAATTGAAAAGCAAGTCGCAAAAGCAAAGCTCACCCGTGCTTGGTAGGAACGACCAGCAAGCACTCTAACAAATAGTCAGCGGCGGTGCCCCCCCCCCCCTTCCCGCCTGTAAGGTCGCCCCACGATCCACGCCTGCCTACCAAATTTTCTCTGCGGGACCCAGTCTACATCGCACCTTCCATACCTCCCGCCGACTCTGGCTCGCGTCACAGCGGCTTGCCTTCTCCGCTGTTTCCTTCCTCAACCTCGCACTTGTTTGGTCGGCTCCAAGGACACAACGATCATTGGATTCTGTGTTGGTGACCTTACGCTTCCTCCTTTTTTTGTTATTCACTGTCACATCTCTTTTTCTTCGTGTCTTGAGGCGCCTTTCTTCGGCAGATACCCCTCGTTTCCTCGGCCTCCGACTTCAAGCCACGCTTCGTGGCTTGCCTCCTTCGAGCCGCAAACCCGCCACCCGCACCTGCCGTCTTTGAGAACATACCGACGTCGCACCGTCGTCGTTGCTTCCTTCCTCTCCAACTCGCCAACGCCGGCACCGGGCTCCCCTTCCCTACCCACCTCGGCCACCGCCTTCCGTCTCGAATCAAGAGCGGACCTGCCCTATACACACGGCTATCATGGTGAGTATTGTTCTTGCCCACGTTACAGCATTGCAGCATCGCCACGCCACACCTCTCCTCCTCACCTACACCCTCATCACCTACGCATCTTGACGATTTGTCCGTCGCCGCCTTCCCGTCACCTCTTGCATTCACCTTGCTTCCTCGAGCTACCCATTGGCTGTTGCTGCGCCTCGCACATCACACTTCACGCGACCGTCAGCTCAGAGCTCATCTACGCTGCTACGCCGCCCTTCAAAAGCGAGTTCTTGTTGCTTTACGATTGGCCGCGGTGTCAATCTCTTTTCCACATTGCGGCAACGCACCCTCCCACCCTCTCACCCTCATCCCGGCCCCACGACCGCTGCGCTTGGCAAGGTCAAAGTCCGTTTGGCTAAACTCGCATGCTACCCTCTCGTAGGACATGAACCCGGAAGATAACGTCTACGCGATGGAGACCGACGACATCACGTTGACAAATAGCGGCTCCGACCATGAGATGGCGACTGCACCTGCGTCGGAGGTCCCCACGACCAAGATGGACACGGACCCCGACCAACCGCTCGCGAATGACTGTACGTCCGACAAACCTCTCTTTTGTTAGCCAGCAGAGAACAATTGGAGTTGGAATACTGACCTGCCGGATTTTAGTCGACTCCATGAAGGAGCTGGTACTTACGCCGCTCATCGATGAACCTCCCATCCTGGAAGATGTTGTTGACACATGGACGGTGGACAACTGGCGCTCGCTGAAGAAAAAGGAACATGGTCCGGTTTTCAAGGCTGGCGGCTTTCCTTGGTAGGTTGACCCGAAGACGTAGCGCCTGCGGCTTCACACTATAGATGCGGAATACTAATCCAACCTCTCCTCGCAGGCGCATTCTTCTTTTCCCGCACGGCAACAACGTCGATTATGTTTCGGTGTACCTCGAGCACGGGTTCGAGCCGAGCGAGATCCCGGATGACTGGGTGTGCTGTGTCCAGTTTGCGCTGGTGTGTTGGAACCCCAACGACCCGACGATATACTCGACGCATACGGCGCATCACCGCTTTACAAAGGACGAGGGCGATTGGGGCTTCACACGCTTTGTCGAGCTGCGCAAAATGCTCCACAAATGGGAGGACCGTCAGCGGCCCATGATTGAGAACGAGTCCGTCAACATCACCGCCTACGTCCGCGTCGTCGAGGACGAGACAGGTGCGCTCTGGCACAGCTTTGTCAACTACGATTCCAAGAAGGAGACGGGTTTCGTTGGTCTCAAGAACCAGGGCGCCACATGCTACCTGAACTCCCTTCTGCAGTCCCTTTACTTTACCAACGCCTTCCGCAAGGTGAGTTTTGGTCGTTTTTATTCTCCCCGTTGATTTTGACGCGCCGCAAAGCGTGGCATAACTGACCCAATCCCACCCCCCTCGCACCAATCTAGGCCATCTACGGCATACCTACGGAGTCCGAAGAAACCTTTAGCAACAGTGCATACACGCTCCAGCGACTATTTTACCAGCTGCAGACCTCCAAAACAGACGTCGGCACAAACGAGCTCACAAAATCTTTCGGCTGGGAGTCAAGACACATCTACATGCAGCAAGACGTTCAGGAACTGTGCCGCAAGCTGATGGAGCGCATGGAAGATAAGATGAAGGGCACGGCCGACGAGAACCTGCTGTCCAAGATCTTTAGTGGCAAGGTCAAGACGTACATCTCGTGTATCAACGTCGAGTACGAGTCGAGCCGTATCGAGGACTTTTGGGACATCCAGCTGAACGTCACTGGCAATAAGGACCTGCAGGCCAGTTTCGAGGACTACATCAGCGTCGAGCGGATGGACGGCGACAACAAGTACTTTGCCGGCGACAAACACCAGCTGCAAGACGCCAACAAAGGTGTCATCTTCCAGAGCTTCCCCGACGTTCTGCACTTGCAGTTGAAGCGTTTCCTCTATGACTACTACAAGGACGCGCCAACCAAGGTCAATGACCGCCACGAGTTCCCCGACGTCATCGACCTTGCACCGTACTTGTCTGAAGACGCCGACAAGTCCGAGCCCTGGACGTACCAACTGCATGGTGTTCTCGTCCACAGTGGTGAACTGGATGCCGGCCACTACTATGCGTTTTTGAAGCCGACCAAGGATGGATGGTTTTACCGCTACGACGACGAGAAGGTCACCAAGGCGACGAAGCGCGAAGTCTTGGAGGAAAACTACGGTGGTGCCTATCCACCGCTGCAGAACCCGTACATGCGGCAAGGCACTACGAAGAAGATGCCGATCATGCGGCCCAACAGTGCCTACATGCTCGTGTATATTCGGCAGTCCCGCGTGGAGAAGATCCTGACGCCCGTCTTGGAGACGGACATTCCCAGGCATATCCAGACCCGCTTCGAGGACGAGGCCCAGCTACGCGAGGCGAAGCGCAAGGAGCGCGATGAACAGCACCTGTACATTGGCATGAAGGTTATCACCGACCACACCTTCCAGCAGCACACCGGGTTCGATTTGACCAGCTTCGACAGCCTGCCCGACACCGACGCGTCCGCACCGCGCATCTACCGGTTATTGCGTACGTCAACAGTCGAGGAGGCAATTGCCACCATTGCCGAGGATATGTCACAAGACCCGAAGCGAGTGCGCCTCTGGGTGATGGTCAACCGCCAAAACAAGACGATTCGTCCGGACCAGCCAATCATGGACACGCACCTGACCGTCGAAGAGACGTACACTCGGATATCCTCGCATAGAGACAATATGCTCCGTGTGTGGGCCGAGGTGGCGGAGGAGGTCGGGCCGGATGGCGAGGCGATCTGGCCCACATACCAGAGCCAGCCGAACGGCCAGGTCGTCAAGAACGACCTGATCCTTCTCTTCCTCAAGTACTTTAACGTTGAACAACAGGTCATCACCGGCATCACGCATGTTTACTTGAGCAAGGAAAAGAAGGTCGAGGAGCTGTTCCCGGTCATCATGAAGAAGATGGGATGGGGTGATAAGCTCACTGATGGGGACAAGCTCCTGCTCTGGGAAGAAATCAAGCCCAACATGATC